TTTCTTGCTTTTCGTGACAAGGACGGAATTCTCATCGTCCACTTGATTGTAGGTTGGGGAATCGGCATCCTAGCTACCGATATATCTCATAGATTCGGTAAAGGGCTGCAGTACTCTAGAGTTGTGGGACATATGTATAATACTGTGTGTTCTGGTCCTGACTCGGTGTCATTCGACGCGGAACTGTGTGGCCTCGAAGAAGTTGCCTTGAGGAGAACTCATACAGCGAGAACGTCGATTGAAGTTGGTGACCTTCGACATAAACCGCGCGACCGACCGCCTGCACTGAACGAACCCAGCGAGTCCAAGGAGGAGATGTCTTCATGCACCTGCATGCAGGTAAGGCGTTCAGATATACACGCGAATACATAGCTAAAAAACACATACTTACTGTTCAAGCGGCTGGACATAGCGATGAGGAAGTAGAGCAGGATAAGACGGTGGTGAAAACTGAGAGACACGGTAAAGAATAAAGAGATCCAGATGATGCTATGAATCGAGGCGATTGCGCAGAAGTTAGGTCGCAGCAAGTGAAGCCCTTTCCGTTCTCGCAGCCTTCTCCTTACTCTGACCCAACCTCTTCTGCTTCTTAAACTACTTCGCCCGATGCGCCTCACGGAGTGCCTTATCCTCCGTCCGTATTCTGTGCAAAGGTATATCAGTCGCCGTCTATCTAGCCTTCAACTGAAAGGTAACGAACCAGTCCGGATCAGGTCTTGGCACACTGCTCTGCAAATCATAGTCCGCCGCCATGTGCCACCACATAGGCCTCGAACCGGGAGGCAGATACAGGTCCTTCCTGAGCTGCTTCATCTGTGCCGCATCCTTTAGACGACCCCAGAAATACCATGGCACGCTCCGATTCGTGGAAAGCCCTATGACGAACGCGGGCTTGGCCGCCATAGCAACACAAGCGGTGAGCAGCCGCTTATACTTCTTTCCGAGAACATGGGGTATTTCGCTGATTGCTTGCGACCAGAGATAAGCGTTGTATATGGTGGCCTCTTCGTGTGGGGGTAATCAAGTTGAGCTGTCGAGCACAGTACATAAGCTGGCGGGGGGTGAGAATGAAACCGAAGAATATCTTTGGGAGATCTTCGATAGGACAATTTTGGGAAGGGGTGAGGTGCTCTGGTAGCGATTGCATAGGCTCATATCCTTCGAGATAGTCCTAAATTCGCCGGCTGTGAGTTGTACATGCAACGGTTGCAAAACTAAGACCTGCTTCTGGAGTGACCGCTTCATCGTCCAGCTCAAGGTGTTCAAGATCTTCAGATAGCTGTGCTGTCGCGTCAGAGCCAGCAGAGCCCATCTCTTTGATGAGAAGTCAGGCGAGAAGTAGAGACAAAGATCGAGAAGATAGAACGCGCGTGTAGCTTTAACGTACATACGTACAGTACTTGTCGTGAGATGCGAAGAACGCCGGTTGGACGGCGGCTCAAGTAATGACCCGGAGCATCCGACAAACCTCCTGCACTGACGCGAACGACCTGCGGATGGCTCTCATCTTGCTTTGTTTTCCAGGCTAAAACCTCCCATACGAGCCCCATTAAACCCCCAGTCCAATGCGTTACTCCCGCGTTTCCAAGAAACCGCCGCTCTTCACTTCGGGAATGTGGCGACTGTACGCGTCTATCCAGATGCCAGTTAACCTTCACCGTGATCCTCCACCCTCGGCGACCGTTCCATACTGACCACACGAGGTTCTCTGTACGCAGTGCGTGAAGGAAGAACGATAGATCCAGTCAATTGTTTTCAGCCTGATAATCAGAAGCGTGGACGTACTGTCGGGTTCGCCTCCTTGTATGTTCATTCAGTTCATACCTGCTTGCTGCTCCCAGCTGACATGATTCGATTCAGCTCACGCGCGTCTGACGGTCTTTCGGGGTAGCAGCTGACCGAAGCGACGCTCATGCCTACATAAAGACCTCGTTGGCGCAAGCGACGCGTCGGACACCATACTGCTTTTTCCCTTACTCTCCTAGACGCCGGGTTGATCAATGTCCGAACACAGACACAGTAGCGACGGAAAGGACGACTTGCAGACGGTGCATACGACTCACGAACAACATGATCAGGGCATAGATCCAGCTCAAGAGGCGAAGCTGAGACGGAAACTGGACCTTTAGTACGTGAAGTTCGTGTTGGCACTGATCTGCACTTACCGTTTCTTCCACAGTATTCTCCCAGTCACGACGCTGGTCTTCTTCCTGACGTTTTTGGATGTACGTTCGCCTGTTAAGGCAATGCACTCCTGCTCACTGAATACCACCTGCAGAGGACCAACATAGGTGAGAGCTATCGAACACAGCGTGTCATTCAAGACCTAGCTCAACGCGATATCGACGTTCGGCGCGTTAGGCAACGCCAGAGCAGCGGGCCTGGTCCAAGACCTTCGTCTTCATCAATTTGATTGTGAGTGCCGAGTCCACGAAGCTTTCCGTCCTCTGTTTCTCACCATTGACATTAGTCAACGCAGGAACCTCTATCGTGATTACTCCTGCTATTTTTCGTTTCCTTAGCACTGCCTGATGTTCTCTAGTTCTACCTCACTTATTTGCTACTCGACATCCCAGGGACATTGGCGGTCAAGAGATTTGGATTCATTCTTATTCCACTATCGTGAGCCATTCTGATATCTTTGATAACCGTGCGTGACAGAAGTTGTCCTTTCGCAGAGTCGTCGGGTTCGGTACAGTTACGCTGTTCACTGCGTTCATCGAGAATCGAGCAGGATTCTATGTGACGAGGTTTTTCCTGGGTGTAACCGAATGTGAGCGAACCTGCGTTCCCTAGGTTTCGCAGAAATTGATCCAAAGCTTTCAGCCATTTCGCTACCTGGTCTCTCGTGAGTCGTCTACCTGGCGTCATAACATTGGAAAAAGGTTCTGAGCAAGCTGCCGACGATGCACAGATACCTTCTCAACCGGTACATTATCATTTTCGATCCTCTTTTGAAGATGTACTGAGTGTGGCCGTTATAGGTACTACCGCCGTCATGAGCTAACCAGCCGGTATGGAGTATTCATGCTGCTTGCTGTTGGAGGTTCGGGTGGCTTCGGTGGTCTGCTGGCCGCTGGGCTTCTCACCGTGGGAAGAATCGGGAGCAGGGCTGGCTGGCGGAACATCTTTCTTGTTGGTGGGTGGCCTGATCACTCATATCTCTAGAGTTGGCGTTCTCACGCTTCGTCTTTCTAGAGGGCATCATGACCGTTGGACTAGGCATCATTCTGTGTTTCGTATTCCCCACCGACCCAGAGAGAACTCGTTACCTTACCGAAGCAGAACGTGAATTGGCCATCAAGCGAATTTATGCTGACCAGCCTCAGGTATGTTCAGTAGACGCTCTCACGAGCAACGGAGACCATTAACGAATACCATAGATCAGAGAAACCAAAGAGAAGATGAATAGAGGCTTGATCAAGAGGGGGATTCTCAACGTCAACACGCTCGTCTGTGTTTGGTACGGCACCTCCTTACGTCGCTTGGCGTGGTTGCATTGCTGACCTTTGTTCCTTAGGATATTTGCGTGAGTAGGGTGCGTTCATTACGGGAGCAATGCTCTGAGAAAATACACGTCAGAACGTCGAATAGCACGGTGCAAGGATTGACTATCTTCTTGTAAGTCACCCGACACCGTAGGTTCTTGCTTCTTTCTCATGAGTATCCCAGACCTTCGATATTGAGAGTCAACTACCCTGGCTCGTCGAATGTCCGTATTCAACTTTTGACAGTCCCTGTCTACGTGTGAGTTGTCTCTAGCCCAGCTGTCGATCGCCGTTCTGCTTATGCTGTCATTGTGCTCATAGTTGTGCAACTGGTGTGGGCGTATTCATCTGCTATCTGTGCGTCAAGTTTCGAATCCACTGGCCATTCGCTGCGTTGGGAGCCATCTGCAGTATCATCGGATGTGCGTCGTTTCTTATCTCCTACGCGTCCTCCGTTCGAACACTCAGCTGCTGCTGCGCATATAGACTCCATTTGGATCGCTACGGATGCGACCTATGTAAATGCACGATACGCTGCCTGTTTTATTAACCTCATCAGCGGTTTAGTAAGGACATCCTTCTTTTCTCATTTTTCCAACCTGAACAACGTCTCCACCCAGATTAATGGACCAGCGATCATTGGCTGGGCAGCCGCCAACGCCAGCCCTGACACCCTTCGTGCTATGGTCGGCGCTGTCGTCAGCGGTTTTGGTGGCATAGGTGCGTACCTGTCTCTGCTATCCTGAGCATCGCTCTAGCGTACAATGTACTGACTGCGTTATCAGGCTCTATTGCAGGCGTGTGGGCGTACACCGCAAACACCGCTTCCTCCGGGTTCAGACCGGGAAACGCGTTCAATCTCGCCATGGGTAGCTCGGCCCTGGTATTATCCATAGGTCTGATGTTGTATCAGAAGTGGGAGAATCGGATGAGGGAGGAGGGAAAGAGGGATTACCGATTACAGGAGGTTGAGGGCGGGGCGGCGATTGAAGTGTAAGCGTATTTCTTTTTTGGTCTCAAGCGACAATATGCTCATCCTGTCATCGGATTGCAGATTGGGCAATCGACACCCTAGCTACCGCTACATTTCCTAACTCATTTTGAGTCGTCCTTGATGATGGGCGAACGTTGAACTCTGCTCTGTACTTCATGAATGTAGTAAATCTTGAACGGTTATGGGCTACTGTCACGACACGGCTGATCTTCAAGGCAAGACTAAATGAAGGGGTTAGCATCAGTGAGGAAAGGCAACGGGTACGACATCAAAAACAAGAACCTGGACTCGGATGGAGCTTTTGAGTAGACTGCAGAATGTGATAGACAAATAGTGGATGGCCTGGGAGTCGGGACCTCCGACCAGCTTTCCGAACTGTCGACATCGCCTGGGACTCTGTATTACGTGTAGGCTTTTTCAGAACGTTCGACACAGCAGGCTGTAGGGGTCTTTTCCGAGGCCTGCCGGAAGAAGGAGCAAAAAGGTCATAAATCCCACTCGGACCCAGCTACTCCAGTCTCTCTGACTGGGAGTCGAACCCAGCTTTCGCGCGTTGTGCACGAAATTATGCATGACAGGCGCGTGTACTAACCGATATACTATCAGAGACATGTTCACTACTTTACACTTGCCTATCATGTGAACAGTACAGCTACAGTGAACAATCAGCTACAGTGGGTATTTTGTCTGTCCCGCTCACCAAGTCCTCTTACTATATTTTTCTATCAAACCAACAGTCGACACCAGTGAAGGCAACAGTCTGTATCAAGAGTTCTGGCGTTAGAGGAGGATGCTCACTAGCTGCCTCATCTACATGTACTCACTATTCTGTGTATTTACAGGAATGAGATTCTAATGTTGTCACTGGTCTTTCGGATGCCGGTAGTCTCGTCGTCGTCGTCTACCTCTCCCGAAAAAACCCAGCTGAATCTGGCTCGCAATGTGGATCTCCACCCCAAGCTCCTCGGCAAACTGCCACACCGCACCGGGATTCTTCTGGAAATGCCGTCCCACCAATATGACATCCGCACTCCCATCGTCAAGAAGCATGTTGGCAGTCTTGCCGTCGCTAATGCCCCCAACGGTGCCGACGAGAACCTCGCTGGAGCCGGACTGTTTGACGGCTTTCGCGAGAGGTGCTTGGTAAGGGGTGTTTGGGAATCGTGATTTACTGATGTGTTGCTTAGGATGATTTCCGCCGCTGGAGACGTCGAGGAGTTCGACGCTGTGTGCGGAAAGGATGGGAGCGAGCTTGAGGGTATCTTCAATTCGCCAGGATTCTTGATCAGGGAGCGATTCTTCTAGCCATTCCGTGGCCGATATTCTGTAGAAAGAGGAGGAACGCCGTGTCAAACAAAGAGTTGTGTAGGCGAAGTGGGGAAAAAACGTACCTGAGGAATAGAGGCATGTCTTGAGGTATCACCTCGCGTATGGCATCCACGACCTCGATCGTAAGCCTCGTCCGATTCTCAAAGCTGCCTCCGTACTCGTCTGTTCGGTGATTCGACACAGGGCTCATAAAGTTGGCTAACAGATACCCATGCGCGGGATGAACCTCGATAACGTCAAAGCCAGCTTTCACCGCCCTCTTCACACCATCCGCAAACGCTTTCACAGCACTCTCAATCCCTTCCTTCGTCAACTCCTACACATCAGGAAATGTGTCCGAGTACTTGACGCGTGAGGGGCCAACGACGTTATCCGACCATCCGTTCGGCTCTTTCTCCGCAACGGCTGTGAACGAGAGCCATGGTGCTGTGGTGGACGCTTTCCGGCCACCATGAGCTAGTTGGATGCCGATCTTCTGGGACTGGGAGTGTGCGAAGGTGACAATGTCGGCAAGAGGCGCGATGTGCGAGTCGTCCCAGATGCCGACGTCTTCAGGCGAGACGCGGCCTTCGGGAACGACGCTGGTAGCTTCGACTACTGTGAGGCCAGGACCTCGCGTGAATACGCTGCCGACTACGAGAGGAAGGCTAGAAAGAGAGTCTGAGGGAAGAGGTTGATCACGTACGATGTGCTTGGTGCCAGGCTGTACCGTGCCCGTCCTGGGCTGAATTCTGGGCCATTGGCGAAACCTATTCAACAGTCGCATGAGTGCTGTGGAAAATGAAGTACTCGAACAAAAAACGCACGAAGATTCGGTTCTGGAACTTTACACCTCGGATCTTTAGAGGTTGGAACAGCTTCGGGACCGCCTGTCCATTGGGCTGAGGCTCGATAGCTGTTCCCGATGGAGGATCTTGAATGGGGGTGAAGTATGGTGCTCCTGGGGCACCATGGTTGACGATGACCATTGTGAGCGAGCAGAGAGGGAAGGTGATTTCTGAAAGCAACGATAACCGTGCCAGGGGTTATTTGAACGCTGCGTGTACGGTCAGCGACGGATTTGTTATCATCCTTGGAGCTGCTTGCTCATCCTTTCTGAGATGGCTCGGCGCGACCGTGGGAGCCATGCTGTCTCCTGTTGCCTGTAGATGACATGGCCCCATATCACGCCTTGAGATGGGGTCCGCGTTGGCTGGTGTGGGTGGTGAGTATCGGTGAGTGGTGGGTGGTGGGTGCGGAAGTCAAAGAGGGTTACCGGTCAGATGATGGCGTCCAAGACTCCAAGTATAATTTGAGTATAATCCGCATTCTATCAAGCACGGACCTCAACTTGAATACAAGCTCATCTCAAACCAAAGCCGTTCTTTGTGTATATGTAGCAAGAAGCTACAGAGAGGACGAGTTTCCGTTTGAAAGCCGCACATCTAACAACGTCCATCGTCACGAAAGAAGCCATTCAAGTACCAAACCTCAAATCCATTGCGACTCAAGACGACAAACTACGCTACAGAACGATACCAGAGACAACGGTACTCCGTCTAGATCTGGGTCGCCAGAGCGTTAAGCTGAGCGAGCTCTGCCGCCGACGATCCCCTTTGGTTCTTAACCACTTTCCCAAGCTGGTGCTCTACGCTCGTCACTACCGTAAACATGAGTTAGTCGGGCGCGACAATAGGAGATTCCATGGGAGAAGGAGACGTACAACCACCCAAAGCAACGCCTTGGCTCGCCAGGGCCCTAGCCATCTGGAACTGCAGGAAGAACTTGGGGACCTTCACTTGATCAAGCAAAGATCTGGTACTCGAGAGCGAACGTAGACCCGCCTCGGTGGCAATGTAGACGTTGAGGGCGTCCTGAATTCGGGTCACATCGACCTCGCTGGGGTTGGCGGGTAGAGGGAAGGTCTCGCTATCGTGATTTGTGAGTATGTGTATGTGACTCGTCTGGGTTAAAGACCGGCAAACGTACAGAGCGAAGCCAAGAAGAGACTTGTTCGAGTCCTGGAAGTTGAGAGCGGAGAATGTGGCGCTTCCGGAGGAGACGTCTGGGACGGAGCTTAGGACGTTTCCCTGTTGCAAACAAAATTGGGTGAGGAATCCATTTTCTCCAGAGTTTCAGGAAGATAAGACCAACGTTTCCACAGGTGACAACTTGGGCAAGGGCGGGGATACCACGCTCAACTTCTGCGGGCAGGGCAACGCGTCCCGGGAGGAAGCATGCCTGGGCTTGACGGCGCTTCAGGGTGGGAGCAGCCATGGTGGTGCCGACAAGAGCGAGAGCAGAGACGATGAATGAGGCAGAGTAGAAGAGCATCTTGTTGTGTATAAGTGTTGAAGGATATAGTGTAGATGTGTACTGTGTGAGTGTCAGAGGTACAAAGAGACCGGCTCAATGTTATGCGAGGAAGTGAAAGAGTGTCTGTGAACTTGAAGGGAGGCAAGCCTGGCGTTCAACAATGCACGCTGGGCCTTTTTATTCTTCCTCGGCGGCCGGTCGAGCTCACGAGGTCCGCAGGTTGAAGGGTTCCTGAATGAACGCAGTTTCCCTATGATTTATTGATTAGTCTGATGGTCGCGCTGAGGATGGCTGCCTTCGCAGGTTGCGAGGTCATGCGGATATTCAGGTGAGGCGAGAAGCGATAGAGTGGTTGAAGCAAGGGTTCGAAAGCATGGGGGAGAAGTGTGTAATTTTCATTCTCGAGTTAGGAGCTGCTTATACGCTTGCCGGGCATGCACCAGAGTTCGAACAGGGCATGACGGCTTGGAGAGGAAAGTTGGTTGCAGCAAGCCGTCGCTGGCTTGATCCAATTTTGATCCGACGCACGCAGCGAAGTAGCGCTGGTCACATCGACCGAACGTCTCTCGTGGACCGCATCGACGTAAAAGCTCTGAACCACCTCACCGAATCGTGTATCACCGTCATCACCCTCTCATTATTGATACGCACAGAAGAGTCTATCATGATACCTCATACCTGCTATAGATCAATGTTCAGGACGCAAAACCCCCCACAGAACGTGTCTCTCTCGAGCTGGACCAGCCTCGTCGACCTACTGCCCCGGAACGTACTTTTTCCTCATCGAACCAGGCATACCAACCAGCTCCTGCACCGCGTCCCACTTCAAATGCTCCCGCGTCTCTGTGTCCGACTTCCAGTCAAGCGCTACGATGAACAACTCCTCGTCGTCAGAGTCGACGGCACCAACGACCGTCAAATACACTCGATGCCACCATTCTCCGAGCTGTTATCGGAAACTGGCGCGGCACGTTATCGGAGCCTGGCGCTGGGAGTTCTTCAGAGACTGGAACGGTGTATCTGAACACGTATCGGCGCAGGTCCGCCTTCGTGATGGGCTCGGAGGAGGGATGCCATTGCGGGCGGTTACGACGGTCGAAGAATGGATGCGGCGGTTGTGCGACGTCGATGCACCACCGTGATTGGGACGTTCGATGCAAGAAGTTTTAGCAGGGACAGTGGCGGTCTGCTGGTGGCATCTTGAGGCAGCGTGGGTTGTATTTCCGTGTTACGACGCGCCGAGCTGCAGGTAGCGAGTAGCAAGAAATGCGATTCAACTAAGTTACAGCTGGGAGGGGAAGATGTGAGTGACTCAAGACTTACATATTGGTATAGTACTTATCAAAAGCGCGACTCGCCTTAGGATTGTCCCTAAGAGCGTGAGTCACGCAGAATCGAAGGGTGCTACAAGCTCCAGCTGCCATGCCAAAACCACCTGCAACAACAAGCGTACGTGTGTCAAAACGAAACTTCCGACGTGCACATGTAAAGGAAGCACGCACTCTTCCGGGGTAGATGGTGTTTTGCCGAACAGCGCCTCGTCTTGATTATCCAGTGTTTCGAAGAGCAACTTTGGGTCTCGGGTCCACTTGTTAACACCCGATGTGTGAAGAGAGGCCGAGCTGCCCTCAGTCCCATAACTGATCATTTCGCGCCCTTCTTGCGGCCTTTCCGCCAGCCTCGCGAACTCTTTCGACATCTCAGCGTAACGAGTAGGCATGCGCATGAGCTCTTCGTGAGCACGAGACCGTTCGTTCGAATATTTCAGAGCGCGGTGTGCGAGCTCCCTCAGTGAGAAGTTTGACTTGGCACCGAGCTGGACTTTTTCGAGGGTTCGTTCATCTTGCTTGGTAACGATTGTAGGATGGGGGGTAGGTTTGAATGGTGGGAATGTTGAGAGGAGAGGGTGTGAAATGGTGGTGGGGAACAACAAGAGCAGCGTCGTTTGGCGCCCATATGGACTCATGTGCTAAACAATAGAACTTGATAACAAAACCGAACAAGTTGAACTTGGCGCAAGACTCGTCGGAATCTATCTCTCGGGTGAAAAACTAGCTCCTATCTCCACGCGTGCTATGCCATTTTTTCACACTATTATCTCATTAGGACCCCGAAGTCATGCATATGTTCATGCACTTCAAGTGGAGACACAAACAAACGAAGATGGTGAGTCTCGTACGTGTGTCCAGCGTGCGCACTGCTGTGGTTCTGTACTCGCAACAGACCTGTTTCTGCCAACGCTCACATTTCTACTGGCTGGGAGACATGGGACCCGCATACTGACAAGTCCGTCCACTTGACGAGACCCGTTTGAACGTGTGACAGACTACAGTGTCCTATATTGACAACGTGACCGCGAACTTGACAGCGTCGTGGCCATTCTGACGCTCAGACAAGTTACACTCCTCTGCCACCTCCGCGAATCACCTCCACTCTTCGACATCCCGAACCTCGTCGACATCGACATCAACGACGACGACGACAACAACATCTTGCTTAGCGACATGAACGAGAGGCGCCGCCCCCCCCAAAGCACCTTCATCCCCCACGCCTCTTCATCCAACCGACCAAACCCCCGTCCCTCACCTCCCGCATCCACCTACTTCCCACTCCTCTCCTCCTCCTCATCCGGAGAATCGCCAACAGCCCCCGACTCCCGAACACTCCGCCCCACATCCGATGCACAGTCGCACTTTGCGTACAGCACGACGCTGCGGAGACATCATGTACCGTCTCAGCTGGACTATGTGCACGAACCGCTGCTTAGTCCTGATGCGCCGGGAAAGATGACAAGAGGCACTGCTATGAGTCTGTGGGAACGGGTGGTGTTGTTGGTGAGCTCTGGGTTTGGTGGAGGCAAGAAGAGAGAGCAAGACTGGGAAGAGGACGGCTGGGGCCGTGGGGGTGCTACGCCCGGTGCTGCAGTTGCAGAAACGATGAGTGCTCGTTTTGCACATATGTCGGTGCAGGTAGGGCTAATTGCTTTGAATTCTACCCGGTTTAAACGCTAATTGTGATCTTAGGAAACACTAAGTCATCTCCGAACGGACCCAAATAAGGGACTGGATTTACCCTCTATACAGCCGTTATTGGCACAGCATGGGTACAACGAGTTCAGCGTAGCCGTTCCAGAGCCGATATACGTCAAGTTTGCCAAGAACGTCATGGAGAATCCGCTTATCCTGCTACTTTGTGGAAGCGCCGTGGTGAGCGGGTTGGTGGGCAACGTCGACGATGCTATTAGCATTACCGTTGCGGTGGTGATCGTTACTCTCGGTGAGCTGCCTTCCTTTCCTCCAGTAATGTGGGAACCGTGCTAATGGACTGGATACAGTGGGGTTCATCCAAGAACAGCGTTCCGAGAAGAGCTTGGAGGCATTGAACAAGCTCGTCCCGCATCATTGTCATGTACTTCGGTACCTACTACTTCTTCTTCTCTTCTTCAGATTCAACCCAACTAACACTCGTACAGCTCAGGCACTTCACATCACGTTCTCGCGAATGAGCTCGTACCCGGCGACATCGTCACCTTCTCCACCGGCGACCGTATCCCCGCCGACCTGCGCCTCCTCGAAACCATCCAGCTGGAGATAGACGAAAGTAGCTTGACGGGTGAAGGCGAGGCGAGGGAGAAAGGAACCGATGCCTGTGTCAGACCAGGCGGCGGTGGGGAGACGGCGCTGGCAGATAGGAAGTGCGTGGCGTATATGGGGACGCTGGTCAGGAATGGTGGGTATTATGGGCGCCCTTTTTCTGTTAATTCATGTTGTGTACTCATGGTTTTTGGGTATAGGCAGAGGCAACGGCATCGTAATCGCCACCGGCACCAAGACCGAGTTCGGGATTATCTTCGAGATGATGCAAGACGTTCGTCCTCCCCTTGTCCACTCAGGGGGGTTTCTCACCCTCACTCTGCTTGCTTGGTTTTCAGGTCGAGGAGAAGCGAACACCTCTCCAGCTCAGCATGGACGACCTCGCGAAACGTCTCTCAATCATCTCCTTCGCCGTCATCGGGGTCATCTGCCTCATCGGTGTCTTACAGTCCCGATCCTGGCTAGAGATGTTCACCATCGGAGGTCAGCGCCCGCCCTTCCCCCCTTCAACTTCCTTCATCCTATCCTAATTTGTCTTTTCCAGTCTCTCTCGCGGTAGCCGCCATCCCCGAAGGCCTCCCCATAGTGACGACCGTCACTCTCGCTCTCGGCGTCCTCCGCATGTCCAAGCGTAACGCCATCGTCAAGAAACTCCACTCCGTCGAGGCCCTCGGCTGCGTCAGCGTCATATGCAGCGACAAGACTGGTACACTTACCGAGGGCGCGTTGCGCGTCGTTACTGTGTGGGGCGCAGGCGGCGACGAGGGCGTTGATGTTAGTACTGATCTTGGGCATGGGTCTTCTGCCCATGAACGCGCTGCCGCCTCTTCCCATACCCAACACGAGAAGTCCATGTCATTATCCCTTTCCGGGCGAGGAACGAGCAGTGGGATGTCGAACCCTGATGGAGCGACGAATGCCAGTGCCGTGCGGAAGACGTTGGAAGTGGGTGTGTTGTGTAATAATGCGGGGAAGAGGGTGAGTGTGAATGGGGAGGTGGAGTATGTGGGGCAGGCGACGGATGTGGCGCTGCTTGAGGTGGTGGAGAGGGTGGGGGCTGTTTGGGGGGTGGTGGATGTCAGGGCGGTATGTGCCTTCATTTCATTCTGGGAAACGGAAAAGGTACTGATGCGACGACGGGGAATAGGGATTCAAGAGAAACTCGGAGAGGCCGTTTAATTCGGAGACGAAATCGATGGCGGTGTCCGGGGTACATCATCTTCCCGCTGTAAGTTCAGGCACATCTACCCCAGCAATGGGAGGATCGACTCAGGGCAGAGAATCGTACTATACCAAAGGATCCATCGAGTCGCTCCTTCCGCGCTGCCAGTTGTACCATATCTCGGACGACTCGACTCCAGCGCTGGACGACGCGATGCGAGGGATTATTCTTCAGCGGGCGAGCGATTGCGCGGCGAAGGGGCTGAGGGTGCTTGCTATGGCGTATGGGTTCAGCGGGTCGGCTTCGACTCTGGGTCACGGCACGCCTGTATCGCGTTCGAGAGCTAGCTCGCCTGCGCCTGGATCCACCACCACAACTACAGCCAATCTCGCGGATAGCGAGCCCGCGTCGTTGATCTTTGTTGGATTTCAGGCGATGTACGATCCCCCGAGGAAGGGCGTGGCGGATAGCATTGAGGTGCTGCAGAGGGGTGGGGTCCAGGTTGTGATGATCACTGGGGATGCGGAGGATACGGCGTTGGCGATTGGGAGACAGTTGGGGTTGAAGATCGCTGGCGGGGGGAGGGGGGTGGATAGAGGGGTGGGGTTGTATCCTCCTGTGCCTCCTCCTCTTGGGGAGAAAGGCCGCGCAGCTGCCGCGGCGACTGCCAATGGGAACGGGCCAGCACACCGGAGACATCCTGCGGTGCTCACTGGGCCTGAGATCGATATCCTCTCGCCAAGCTCGCTGACCTCGCTCATTTCGCTGGGGTCTATCTCTATCTTTGCTCGCACCACCCCACGCCACAAGATGCGCATCGTCAAAGCTTACCAAGCCCTATCCCACATCGTCGCCATGACTGGAGACGGCGTAAACGACGCCCCCGCACTCAAGCTCGCCGATATCGGCGTCTCCATGGGCTCTGCGCGCGCCACCGACGTCGCGAAAGAAGCTGCCGACGTGATCTTAGTGGACGACCGATTCGGGACGGTGGTGAAGGCTGTGGAGGAGGGGAAGAGCATCTTTGCGAATGTGCAGAATTTTTTGGCGTTCCAGCTGAGCACAGCGTGTGCGGCGCTGGGGTTGGTGTGTTTGAGCACGGCGATGGGGCTGAGTAATCCGTTGAATGCGATGCAGATTCTGTTTATTAACATTCTTATGGATGGTGAGTTTCTTTGCCTTTCTCTCTTGGTGTCAGGATTTAGCTGATGGACTGGGATAGGTCCGCCGAGTCAGAGTCTAGGTGTGGATCCTGTGGATCCGGCGGTTATGAGGCAGCCGCCGAGGAAGAAGGACGCGGCGATTATAACGAAGAGGTTGATTCAGCGGATATTGTTCAGCGCTGCTATCATTGTCGCTGGCACGCTGTTTGTGTACATGTTTGCGCTTGACGATGACAAGATGTCGAGGCGGGAACAGACGATGGTGAGTTCTCCCCTCTTCCTTCCCCTTGGAACCGGAACATCTGCTTACCGAAGACGCACACAGACCTTCACATGCTTTGTCTTCCTCGACCTAACATCCGCCATCCAAAACCGCTCGCTCTCCTGCCCACTCGATGGGAACAAGATGCTCATCACCACCGTCTCCATCTCCTTCCTCACACAGCTCGCGCTGGTGTACGTGCCCTTCATGCAGTCGGTGTTCCAGACCGAGGCTCTGAGGACGAGGGATTTGGGACTGCTTTTGGGGCTGGCGGGTTGTAGCTTTGCGATGCATGAGATGAGGAGGAGGTATGAGAGGGTGATTAATGCGAATGCGGGAGTGGGTGGGTTGGGAGGTGGGGGAGGGGTGGATAGGGTTGTTTGAGTGCTGTATTTATGTATATGGGGTTTTCAGATTGATATGGATGGGCTTTGAGTACTCTGTCTGGCTGGAGGTGATGATAATTTTCGTTAGGAATCACACTGGAGTCGGTGGCCCTAGGTGAGGAGTGGATCAGGAAAAGTTTGCGGCACCTCTCAGTTGCCTCTCACACAGATTCTGAAGGGCTTTGCTGATCCGCAGTCATGTTCTCTGATAGTATATCGGTTAGTACACGCGCCTGTCACCAGATGGAACGTTGCTAGATTCGCGCGAAAGCTGGGTTCGACTCCCAGTCAGAGAGTGGATGCGTTATAATTAAGTTTCTTTTTTTCACACTCGAGTTTCCACCGACCGCCGACGACCAGTCCTGAGTCCTGGGCCTGGGCAGTGAGTCTTCTGGACCATTGATGATTGAAAGCTTGGGATGTCCTCCACCTCGTCGTATAGACATTGACTTGTCGCTGATAGTGTGTCCGCTGCTCACTCGCGCTTGAGTCTTGCCAGGCACTCGACCTGCTTGGAATCGACCTTTTCAGGAAAAGACCGAACTCAACCAACTTGTTATAAAGTACATCCACTATCATTACAGAGATGATCACGATGATTGCGGACCTAGTGCTACAGGAGTACGAATATTACCCAAATTCCACAAACCTATGTCCCGAAACGCTGATACCTTCAGAACCTGACCCACGCACTTGCATAACTAACACTAGAGTCTTTGACGCTCACGCACTGACTGCTCTGCTCATACCTCACAAACCTCACCTCCACCTTTCTCCCCTCCTCAAACGACGCCAGTGCGCCCAGTAGTACACCAATCGGGTGCCTACCACAGATGGTGTTCTTCGTCCTCTTGAGGTAATGAGCAAATGAGTCGTGTGCCTGTTGTGCGGACTTTGAACTCGGAGAGGTAGAAGATTGGGGGATGGTGAGGATGTCGGTGGCTTGCTTGTCGAGGACAGTGATGCTCTCGTGGATGGGGACCTGGGATGGGCGGGTGGATCGAGAGAGAGAAGATCCTGTTTCGTAGCTAGATGGGTCGTCGGATGGGCTTGGAAGCGTTGGATAGTAGAATGTGTATGAGAATCTCGTGCCCCTAATGAAGAACGTAAGTAAGTTGAGCTGGGTCGAGTGCAGGGGATGGCGAACCAGTGGCAGAAGTCGGAGGAAACGACGCAAAACGTGTCTGGCTCAGCGAGGTACGGTGCGATGATTTGCCCATAATGCGATTCCACGAATTGTGAGATCGAGCCAACGACGATGGGAACGATCTTAATGTCTTGCCTATGCGTAGGTTCAAAACAAAATCTAGTAGAAACAGAGCAGGAAAAGTACCCTTCAAATATCTTCCGAACATATGGAAGATGCATCTCCAAGCTGTGTTCCGCCTCGTCGTCATCCAAGGAAAAATCGCTAAACTTGCCAGTGTTTCTCAGCTTCGCAACAGCTAGTATGTGAGCACGTCAGCAGCATTCAGTAACGATAGCTTGGTAGACTGACTTTCTGAGTCTATTTCCAGATCTCCAATTGGAGTCTCATACACTTGGGCGCCGGAGAGAGCGCATCCTTGAAGGTAGACGTGGTGGGAAGGGCCAAGAATGAAGACGCGCTTGCTAGTGGATATGAGCCATGCCGTATCACCCCATGGCATAACGACCAGGGTACTTACATGCCGGTTACATCGATGCTCTTGTAAGCATACGCGGCGGCGGCCCCAGAGTAAGAATAGCCAGCATGTCTATTCCGAGGATTGCCTCAGTGGGGATTCGGAGTTCATACTCAGGAGACAGCAGCTCACGGGGCGATGACCGCCTTGCAACCCTTAACGGGGAAGTCCTCTCGAGGTTTGACGGCGTCGAGCCACCCAGAAAGCTGTGAGTCAAGCTCTTCACCTGCAGAAGTGTGTTCATTGGCAAGCACGGCGGGATAGATCGGCTATCTGGGAGGCTAGGAACAAGATATACCATCGTCTGAGTACCAGCTTCCGGCGTGTGAGGCCTGTCTCCTTCGACTACTGGTCATTTACTGGTATCAGTGCTCACAGATTGAGGAATCCAGAGTTGCAAAGCGTACGACGATGTGTTGGACATGAGATGATGGATGCTCCTGAAGAAGGAGGTGATCATCATGTGCTGTGAGGTAAGCCACCTCGACTCTTGCCTACAACCATCACAATGCTGCTATTGTTCAACGTTCAACGTTCGAATCTTCTCGCGCCAATTAGGCCTCGATAAGTAACAGCTGACATCGCTGGATCACCCTCGACTGCTCATCGACCATCGTGTTCAGGACAGAATGTTCGGACTTTACCAGGTTCTCATTCTGGCACGCCTCGTTCCAAAGGACGATACGCACCCATATTATCGCTGCATTGGAGTCCACGTCAATAGGGTTATCTCCCCTCTCTTCCATGTCTTCGCCATGAAACGCATATTTGAGATCATTAGGAATCCTACCAATGCAGCCATTATTGCCGACGAGGTCAGAAGAGCCCTGGACAAGTATGGACGACAAGGCCACGAATCAGCTATGCCAGAAGGCCCATACACCTTGTATCTCGTAGGACAAGCATGGGATATCGACCTCCACACAAGTGGCAAAACTGAGAGTGATGGCACGTACGCCATGGAAGACCTTGGCTCCGTGTTCGATCCTGTTCCGTGCGATACAGACATGAAAACCAGTGCGAAGCTTCTCGTTTCTGTGTTCGATGGAAGCTAACCTCATGCTTGTTCACAGCGATGAAAATACTCGACAGCTGGGCGGTCATCGATGTGACAGATCCCATGATTCCGGGGTGCGGATTCATGCCCTGGACTAGCAGGGCAGTCATACATCAGGGCCCTTTGGACGCCAAGGACTACTACGGGTCGTTAACTGGGATAGAATCAAGCGAGATTACAGAAACTGCCTTAACTGCCATTGTGGGAAGTCGACCGATTACCGTCCGCAACCTTGCCGAGGCATGGCCCGCCGTGTTTTCCCCGTTGAACCCTGAAGCCAACGTTGTTCCGGATCCACTTCGGGCGACTGAAGCGGTGCCTTCCTTGCTGGAACTAACTTCGGCTGCTTTGGTCGAGCAGGTCGCTAAAAGCCCAAGTGCTCTCCCAGGCATCATCGAGCGCCTTGATCTCACATCCAAGAAGGACGATACCCCGAAGGTGCTCAGGTCCATGCCGATAATTCCAGACGCGATGCTCCCGACTCTGATACAGGTCCTTTGCTACGACCCCGCCGTGGAAGACCACCAGTTCTTGTAGCTCGCCCATTTCACCCACATGTCCGAGTCACAGATCTTGAAAGTTCTAGATAATTGGCCCAGAAAGGCGGGTCTGCCATCCGTACTCTCGACTTCACTTGCCATCATAATTTGTTTTTATGGACGTCGCCATAGTTCAACCTGTCACCGCGACGATATCAAGCCTTCGGTGCTTAATTCTTGTGGACACGAACATCACAGAAGCGGCAATGCTACATCTTCTATCCACAACGCCTCAAGTTTTCTACACTCTCCAGCACATCATCCACCCCTTCTTTCACACTCTAGCTAAGACGTCGGCGTCCTGTTCCATGGGCAGCTTTGCCTTGATGACCAGCTGGACGTTTTCCGCCCTAGCTTTCACTGCGGCGTCTGTACCTCACTTTCATGTCGATCACGTTCTCTCTACATTCTTTATACTGCTATCCTCGCTTGCTGTCAGGGGGTTTCAGAATCTGGAGGAATGGCCTCGAGAAGATGGGCTCGTAGGCATGATGTTCCTACTCACAAACAAGACCCTCAACGGCGTCCTTCTATCTGCTTCAGATCCCCCTTCTCATTGCCCTCATCCCAGCCCATCGCCCTCCACCCGTCAATCATCTCGAGGACAAACGCCGACTATCACTGCCAGTGCTACTGCAAAGCAACCAATCGAAGCCCACCCACCCAGCACTGTGACCACAAGGCCCACACTCACCGACAGCTCCGCAGAAGAGCGTGCTTTCTGGAATTCACGAACCGTGACCACAGTACCTACACCGGGTACTCGTGGCTTCTGGTCTGGCCATGGCTGGGGCTTGGTGTTCGATCTCGCCAATGCAGAAAACCCATATCAACCCTCGAGATGGGCCTTCGTCCAGGTGGATCGGGGCTCTTATGAAGAATGGGCAGAGAAATGTAGAAAGCTCAAGGACTCCGCAGGAACGAAGAAGGAAGGATCGGCTAGAGACACGAACTTGGAGAGGGGAAGCCTGGGAGAAGGTCTCGAAAACTCGGACAGTGGGGTTCCTGAGGAGCCAGCAGATTTGCTGAAGGTATACGATCTTCAGGGTTTCCTCGACGCACTTATGGAGGAAGAGCGTCCAAAGGCGTCTGAGCACCTCGTCGCTTCCCCTAAACGTTGCTGTGCCAGCTTGATTGGGAGGCTTCCTTCGGGTTCGACGGTGGCCAGCAGCACGACCAAGACGACAACGAAGAAGGCGACGACGATGCCGAAGATGTCAACGGAGCGAGCACGCCTGTGAACCTGCGGCTCAAGCTGTTCAGAAAGGACGAGCTAATACACTTTGTGCGTGAGTCGGGATACAAGGGTGCGCTGCCAAGTTCTTTTCGGGTCGTGAACCATTGGGATGATCCTCATCCGATTGAGCGGAGGAGGGCGAGCGATATGCGGAGAGCTCGTCAAAAAGCCGGGCTTGTTGTCGAGGCCGAGTAGGAGTGGTTGACCTCTGGTGGCTCGCTTGAGTTGTCAGTGGATGGGGTTTTGTTTCACTGGGGGTAGGAGCAGTGCGAGGACAGTTTCTCCATAAGACACCCTATGTAGCTTCTTCCCGATATTGTATATGTACGCAACGCGTAATCTGGTAGCGAACTCGGGAGAGCATGCAGTACTTATCACGCCGGGAAGCCTCGTCGCCGGCGGGAGCACAACCCCACATCATTGTCGTACAGTCATGACCACCGTACCATCAATAACCGAACGTTCCCTCCTCTCTACCACAATCTCATCTAATACGCTTTACTCTCACGATAGCGGCAAGCAAATTATTAAGCACTTCAACCACAGGATAGGAAGCTATAGGGGTTGCGCTCGCCACGGTCTTGCGGTTTACAAGCCGGGCGTCCCAATCCCAATCGAACATCATCAAGCGCTCAACGCGCAACGCTTGACCCGCACTCCCACCCGATCGAGGGCTTTTGCCTATCATATATACCCACACCAAGGCCTTCGCCTCTCAACCTTATACCACCACCACCTCGCCCAGGCCCACGTTTCCTCCACGAGTATTGTCACACGACCATCGCACCGCAGCCACTCC